CATATGTCTGTGTCGATTTCGTATGTTCAGCGTACGGGTCTCAATTTGGGTACACTGACCAGTTTTGGTCTACGGACGAAAGCTATTGAAATTGGTTCAGATTAATCGCTTATAAAGCCTCGTTTTGAAAAGTCATCACTCCAAGCCCCACTAAAGAGTTTTTAATTGCCTTTTTTTAAGCTATGTAATGAGCTCGCTTCTTCACGGGTATTACGGGGGAACTTAAGATTTCAACTCATTTCTTGGGGCTTTTTTTGAATCGAACGCAATAGTATGTATAGTGGGTATAGTATACTGTGCAGATGAAAATTTTAATGTAATCGATTACTGAGCACATACACAGAAACTACTGTGCCGTCTTAAAATTCTAAGCTAGTCAGAGATTTAAAGTTCTAGCATTTGATATATAGAGGAGCATGGTCATATGATCTCACTCTATGTTAATGAAAAGTATATATATATGTGTATCCTACGAGGTCTATAATGCCTATTTTTAGATGTTGCAAAAAAGTGCAGATCATCGGTGGTCCATAGGAGATCACATATGAAGCAAAATCATTATCTAAATAGTCATCGTTTATAGTGATATCAATCGAAAACAATCAGCCGACCAACCTCCTTTAATTACAAATATTGGATTTCATTATGAATATCCAATAGAGCAAAGCCGTTGAATTTGAAATTAGAGCAAAATATTAATGATATTTTAAAAGGTATTGCCGTATTAATTAAACATCTAACTTATAAAAACAAGTAGCTTCAACTATATCCCGGTAAAGTCGATGTGATGTTTTTTTCGAAATTAACGGCTTCTTTATATATCTATATATGGAGTTTGACCTTGAATAATATATAAAGTGAAGAGAGATTTTGAATAGATCAACTGGTGAATTTGAATCTAATCTCTATAAATGTTAGCCATTTACAATACAATGCCCTACGAAACTGCCACGAACCTTATGCTTTTTTACTTTAAAAATTTGTTACCAGTACACGAATGTTTACACTTGGGAAAAATTTTAAGATCCCTTTTTAGATGTTATATATAAAATGAAAATATATGTGGCTCTGAATTTGTGTACGCCCCATTAACTTATACCAAAGGTCAAATCAAAAATAAATTTATTGCGAATGTTTGCGATCAATTTAATACAAAATCTGACTGCCTTTTCAAGTTTCACAATAGTAAGAAAAAAATCAAGGACAGAATGATGTTAGGTGGGAAGAGCAAGGGAGAAAGACTACAAACTAACAAGATAAACTAAATATATGGTCGCAATAACAAATAAACTTCATTTCATTGAGGCCATAACAAATAAATTATACTAAGTGCTGGGGCTCCTAAGCGGAGGCAGAGAAGTTTTGGACATTGCCCTCTTCATAAATTTAAAAGACGATCAAAAAAATTTATGCTTGCATCCCATCATACGAAGAGCCTTAGCCATTAAAAGCCTGAGTGCTTTTTTGAGTTTCACGACTAGAGCCGGAAGCCAAACGAGTGATAGCACAGATGAATAGATGTCGTTGCGAAGTAATTTAACTTGACTATACATTATCGTGACATAGGCGCCAACGTTCTTTCGCAATCGGGCATACAGGCCTAGATGTGATCTTTGCGTGGTGTCAAAAAGAATTTTTATGTGGATATGAACAAATTTTAAACAAACCCGTTAGTCACGACGACCAGAACATATTGTCGCCAAAAGCAATTTCCAATATCTCGTAAACCAAAATTAAATATCAAAACAAAGTTTGACGTAATTTTTATTAATAAATGGTTTCACTTATTACTTAACTACCGAACATGTTGGCATTAGATTTAATCCAGATAACAGTTAAGCTGCTGCCAATCAAAAAAGTAAGCCCAACTGATTCCGAAAAGTTTAACTACTTTTTTAGTATAGCAGCACGAGTCATTCGGCTGTCGAAAAAATATAGTTTATTTAATTAAGGAGAATAAAAAAGAAAAATACGATATACGATATAAGGCGATTGATGAGTGAGAAAGAGTTCGTGATTTAGGTCAAATTGTTCTTCAAATTTTCAAATATGACAGCTTGCTCGCGTTTATCGATTGCTAACAAACGGAAATGCAGAAGAAACAGTTAACAAGAATTCATTTGATTTCGTATCATCGCTTATGACAGTAGATGAGACGCCGCCACTAAACCGAAAATGATAAAGTGTTATGGCTAGTTTTTCCTCTGAGATATGAAAGAGAATCGCTTTGTGAATTATTTTACAAACAATAAAAGAATTATAGGGGAATATTAGTTCACGTCTGTAAGTAACGCAAAGGCGGTAAGAGGGAAAAGTTCAGTTGACTCGTGGAACATATAGCTTAGACAATAGGTTTTGTGATATATCGACGTGTCAAAAGAGCTTTGCGTCTGATGTAAGAGTTGCGGCACTCGCAGCTAAAGATATTTCGCAGATTGTCCTCGCGGAGAATAGGATTTCATAATAATAATAATAATAATAATAATAATAACAATAACGGAAATAAAGTATTTTACGATAAATTTTTCCTTATGAAAAGATGATAGTCGAGGAATATTACGCTGCCGCTATACATTTAAACATAATGCAGAACTTAATCAGTTTCTATATATGAAACATATTGCTGTGAAAGTTTAACACATACCGGCGTTGAAAAATGGAAAACGATTACCGAGAGGTGATTTTGATTTGAATATTTTTTGTTTTTCTTTTGTTTTTGTTTTTTGTTTTTTGTTTTTTTTTTTTTTGTTTCTTGTTTTTGTTTTTTACGTTATAAAAACTACAAACGTTTATAGGATGGCGGATTCTTGATTTTTAAACTAATATGCTATTGGAGTTTTAAGATAGAGTTTGTTGTTTATATTCTAGTGTTATTTTTATTATTTTTTTTCCTTTGTATGTTAATTTTTAGTAATTCGTATGTAATTGTTTGTGCGCTCGCGTCATAAAGTACCATTAGAAAATGTATGCGATTTATTTTTGTTATATTTATTTGTTTCGGGTGAAAAGTAGTAATGAAAAAGAACGGGAAGGGCTTAGGTTTAAACATTAAATAATCATTTTGTGAAGTATTTATTTACATTAATGGAGAATTTCTGGAAAATATTTGGATGGGGAGACGGGCCGACAAGTGAAAATGAATTCAAATAAGATATATAAATAAATAGATAAAGATATGGAATGCATGTATACATATGTGTCGAACAGTATAACATTACATTTAAATGTTTTAATGCTACAGCTTATATAATAGTGGATATTGGTTTCTTAGTTAATGTTAAACAGTCTATTGAGACACTATATTATTATTTATTTATTTATTTATTTATTTATTTATTTATTTATTTATTTATTTATTATTATTATTATTATTAATTTCAAATTATTTTGTAGATGAATTATGTTATCATGCTATCTTGTTTTTTATTTCTTTTCTTTTATTTTTTGTTTTTTTTTGTTGTCTTTTTTATTAATTCTATCTTAGGATCTTAGCCTGCTCTCTTAGCTTTTGTTGATTTCTATGGCTTATTAACATGTTTGCGATCGCTTTGATAATACTTTCTTAAAGGGGTTCATTTCGCCTATTCTCTCTGCTTATACGAGTATATGTATTGCTTCCATTCTCTAGGTTTCTTTTGTTTATCTAAATTTTTTTTTTTCTAAAAACCATCTAATATCCATGGGATTTATAAAAACTGTGTCTATGATTTATTCGAATTTTTCCTCGTTTATATAAATTGTCTAACTACTGTTGTTTGATTACTTACGTATGCATGTATGCATATATGTATGTATGTATGTATGTGTATATGTATGTATATATGTGTATGTAAGTATGTATGTATATATATATATATATATATGAACGTATGTATGCATGCATGTATGTATGTATGTATGTATGTATGTATGTATGTATGTATGTTAATATATATGTACGTATACGTGGCAGATTCCCTTTCACTAATTTCTATGGCAAAACCTCGATGGCAGATCTTAAAATTACGTATTAATCTTTAAAGTGTCCCTATCCTCTACAACAGGTGGCGCATTATTTGGTTGACATTGTTTGCCCATTACATTACATATGTCTGCCGTAAGTAATGCCATGAAAAAATGGTTAGAGACTCGCTGTAATAATGACGGTATATGCAGTGACGGTAGGCAGGGCTGGGATTTCTTCTGTTTTCTGTTTTTTATTTATATATTGTATCGAATAATATCTTGATTTATCTCATGTGTTAATTTTAAGCAATTTAATAAACTGTTCACGTATATCATGTAACCATTTTGTGATAACTAACTAAACGATTGAATTATTGGAAAAGAAAAACAATTAAAAATTTTATAATAAAAAAGTATCTATATATAAAAGACATCAGTAACTTTGTAAATGAGATCAAAAATTATTTTAAAAAATTTCTGGAATTTTATTTTGACAAGTCAAAAGTTAAGAGATCTTCCATAAATTATTTTCTTTGTTTTTTTTTTTTTGTTTGTTTTTTAAGTGACTTATAGAAGTCTTTTATACCTAACGCTTGTTATGCCGTATATCACTTGTCATACAAAGTAAATTAAGTTTGCGTGTGACAAACAAAACGATTTAAGATAAAGCCTACGCAGATTGCAATTTTCGAGATCTTTTGATGGAATTTTTCAAAGTCACGTATATATGGCCGAAGGACGAACTTTTTTGAAATGGATTGGATTGGGCATTTTTTGTGACCTCATGATGTTCGCCACGTGAAGTCATATTTTGAAAAAGTCATTTCCAAGTGGTATAGGGCATACAATGGCCGGCCTTATCCGGCTATAATGTTTTAATTTGTTTTGTTCTTTATTGTTTTTTTTATTTGTTCATTTATTTTTTTAATTTTTTTTTTTTTTTTTTTTTTTTTTT